GAACAAAGAGCGGTGATGAAGTTTCTTCATATGAAGGGAAATCTATGACGAGTTAAAGAATGTTTTGGGTGAATGTGCTCCTTCTTATGCCGCAGTAAAAAACTGGGTGGCTGAGTTTAAACGCGGTCGTACATGTGTCCAAGATGAAGCCCGCCCCAGACGTCCAAAAAGCGTCACGACTCCGGAAATGGTCGTGAAAGTACATGATATGATTTTAGCAGATCGACGATTCAAGTTATCTGAAATGGCTAACACTACAGGTATCTCAAAAGAACGGGTGCGTCATATCCTAAGTGAGGGATTAAATATGGAAAAGTTATCGGACCGTTGGGTGCCGCGATTGCTTACGCACAATCAAAAAATGGTTCGGGTGCAAAACTCAAAAGAATGTCTATGGAACCATTTCGCTAACAAATTCTTTCAATCATCAAAATCAGTCAACAAACCTAGAAGATATGCTCGAACAACAATAAAAAAATTGTACCTATAGATTGTTCTTTCAGTCCAGTGTACATATTTTTTAGCAAATGCTAATCTTGCCGTAACATTTTGCTTTTTCAAAAGTAGTCTACATCTTATTGTTCTTGCAGACACACCCTTCGACCCTCGTGCACCAAAAACTCCGAACGAATCAATTCTGATCCCTTGAACGGATCTTTTTTTGCCAACAACACCAGTAAGAACAGTTCAAGTGGTTTGCTATTTTCCCGTATGACCAATCTTTATTATGAAAGTTGAAAATAATCTTCCAAGTGGACAAATCGCAACTCTTCTTTTTTCCCATATTGCTGGGTTTAAAACATATTAATTTTAATTAAAAAATGAGGTTTTTTAATCAATCTGATTAAACCCTCTATAACAATAAAAAGATAAAAAAAAATACACAGTCAGGTCATAAGTATTGTCACACAGTAAAAACTTTTCTTTTAGAATGCTGGCCACAAAAAAGTTTATTGAATTCGAATTTCGAATTGTTCATGAAAATGAAAATGTATACTTTTTAGAATTTTTCTCATTTTTACCCGGCTGCGCAATGCAAGAGCGCGAAGCGCGACGCGCAGACAGGGTTATGTGTTTAACAGTCTATATATGTATGTTTGTTCCTTTGTGGCACACTAGAGACCAAACGCCTAGACCGATTTTGATGATTCATACATCAATCGATTCGTCTCAATTATGGGAGTGCTACTAAAGATATGATAGTAATCAAAATTCAATATGGGCAAAATTGGGCGCCATATTGTGACGAAGTAAAAAAAATAAGTTGACAAAATATGTCGAGTGGGGTATCACTGTCTAGATAATCAAAAATCATATTTAGGTTCCTAACACCATTTTTCATTTAATATGATTGTTTAGGATCTACAACGCTTTAAAGTTCTATATTAACCACTTACGCTTTTAATTTCAATCTTACGTTTGTATGGATCTTTGTTACTCTTTCACCTAAAAAATACTCAATGGATTTTAATGAAACTTAACAGTAATATAGCTCATATATGATAATTACATATATATAATAATTTATGTAGTTATTGAGTGAATTGGCCAATATATAACAATAAGTGTCACATAAGACGGAAAAATCGAGCCATCTGCGAGCCATTTTGGCCTGCACTGCAAAAACAATAAAAGTTACATGAATGTAATGTAGTGTGAAAATGTATCTCTGAAATAGTTCTAAAAAAAAGTCCGTGACACCATATATCTATTTTTAATGTGTAAGTCATTACCGCTAAAATAGTAAATCAAAACTAAAATATTATTTGATTTCTATTTCCAAAATGCACATTTTGTATTAACAAATCACTTTTTATCAAAACAAATACTTTTATCGCTTTTGATATTTAAAGACGATAAACTTTGCTTGTTACACTATGCCATTTCGACAAATATTTAAAAAGTTACAACGATGACAAAGTGATAGGGCGGTGTACTATGTAAAAGAAAAAAAAAATGGGCTATTCGCAGTATCTGATCCTATACGAAGCCCTAACAATAAAACTGTGATACAGTTCCTTCTTATTAAATGATGAATAATATATTATCATAATAGGTATTTATGATTATTGAATTTTAATGAAAAACTCAGAATTTTACTGTTTTTCATTTTTTTAACGATATTACTTAATATTACAAAAAGGTTTACTTAATATAATGACAAATAACCCATTTTTCGCTAGTCAGTAAGTACTTATTGGAATCCCTGTATTTATTAATCAGCTCCCGATAATATTGGTTTTGTAATAATTCTGCAAAATTCAAAGTAAATAATGTAGATTTTTATAGGTAAATCATCCCTTTCATCACCCTACGCCTATAAGTATTGCGATGTTGTAGCTAAGAACCAAGTTCCCATCTACTTCTATATGGGAATTCATTATATTCGATTTAGCTATTTGGGCACGGAAGCGCAACAAACAAACTCACTTTCGCATCTATAATATTATATTATACTTACTAATGATCCACCCGGGCATTGTACGGGCGAAATTTATTTATCGGGATAAAATATAGCCTATGTCACTCGGACAAAATGTATTTAAATAAAGAAAAATGTAATAATAAATAATGTAGCTACCTTATGATGAATTAATATTTGAAACCGGTTCAGTAGTTTCAGATTATTTGTTACAAACATACAAATCTTGCCTCTTTATAATATTAGTATAGATAGTTAGGATAAGATAAGTATTTCATTGATGAAAAAGATTTAAAAATAAAGTAAGTAATAGGTTTATTTGATTATATTTGTAAAAGTTACTTCGCATTTGTGCTTAACAGTGATACGATATTCGGTATTTTTTTAAACAAAAAAAAACATTTGGAAAATAATTGCCATGATTGCACTACTGGGAGTACTCTTCATTCGAGCTTTACACTACCAATAAAAAAGGGTCGATCACAAAGTCTTTGACCTGTTATATGTGAACGCTTTAAAAGAAAACTACAAAGAGAACTATAAATTGATAATAAATGAGATTGCTATGGTGCTCTACCTAACGTTAGGAAAATTTTATTATGCGCCTTTAGTTAAATCAAATATTATAAACTTTGCTTTGGTGATTGCATAATTATTTAATTTAGTGATCTAAGGCAGTTGCCACCATTGTCCAAAACAACAAACGGGAATTACTGCTTTCTTCAACCTGCGACATAAACGTCATTGATTGGTATTGTATATAGGGTGATTATAAACTTCTGGCATCTACATATTGGGTTTCTATGAATTATGTAGGTATATCAAATTATGACACTAGGGACTGACACTGCATTTATGTATATCACAATCTTAGTCGTCCGGCATTGACATGACAATGCAGCCACTACCAATTTTAAATAGTCGACGAATAAAAGTAAATGAATTTTATATTTACTGCTAAACTATTAAAAAAAACATAAACAAGACATGACTTTTTGAGTAAGTGCTAGTTTACTATAAAATTTACATACATTAGAGATATTTATGTAACGACTTGATTTAACTTCACACATTTTTGCGAAAATTGATTGTAGCCTTGACCTCGCTGGTAAAGTCTCTATATGTCTTAATAAATCAATCTTTTAGACCGACGCAAGGTACTTAATAATTCCCGCGATATTAATTCCCTTACTGAAGTAACAAGACTACGGTATATACCGTCTTAAAATACTAACTAACTAAAAAGTGTGAAATAAAAAAGATAATTTAATAAATCAAAAAACCCGACTGCCCTAATTATACTTCAAATAAAAACTGCAAAGAAAAAAACAAGTCCAGTAGTCTATAATTCTGTTAATAAGGAACAAAGCTACTTTAACAGTCGGGACCCACTGTTAAAAAATATTATGTATTCTTGAATATCTTATGGGTCCCGACTGTTAAAGTAGCTTTGTTCCTTATTAACAGAATTATAGACTACTGGACTTGTTTTTTTCTTTGCAGTTTTTATTTGAAGTATAATTAGGGCAGTCGGGTTTTTTGATTTATTAAATTATCTTTTTTTTAAATATGGAGTGGACGCTTAAAGGAGACCGTGTTGCAGTTATTGCGTTGCATCGTTGCGGTTACGCGCCAATTCAAATTTTTGACATACTGAAAATTTTGAATATTACCAAAAGATTCGTTTATCGTACCATCAAACGATACAATGAATACTCTAGTGTAGATGACAGGTCAAGAAGTGGTCGCCCTCGGTCTGTTTAGACTCCAGCAGTGATAAAAGCTGTGAAGGCGCGAATTCACGTAAGCAGAAACTGTTGGCCCTTCAGATGGGGTTAAGCAGAACCATGGTGAAAAGGGTGTTAAATGAAGACTTAGGGCTTCGGGCATATCGAAGAAAAACAGGACATCGTTTGAATGCTCGTCTAATGGACCTGAGACTGAAGAGATGCCGCGCTTTGTTGAAGCGATACGCGGGAAATAAATATCGGGAAATTCTTTTTTCGGATGAAAAATTTTTTTTAATTTTATTTTTTAGAAGAGAGCTACAACAAATAAAATGAAAAGGTGTACGCACACAGTATTCGAAACCGAAAGGTAAACAAAACCCTACTTTAAATTTTATCATGTTTCAACTATTGTTGTTATGGCGTAACAGATTACAGTAAAATGTAAATGTATTTTTTTAATATGCTGAAACTATTGTAAACTTGTAATTGAGATTCGTACGAAACGAGGTCGTTATTGTAGTTGCCTGCCGTTTTGCCGTAAAAACCATTTCACGCAATGTCTTAACGCCCTGACCTCCAACATGAATATTGACTTCATTCGAAGTCATACTCACATCTAATAACTAGGTCACGTTTTCAGGGAGAAAGGATTTTCGCGAAATAGCTTCTTTTTTCGATTATCATTGCAGAGAAAGATTACTGAAATAAATGGTTAGTAAGAAGGGAATTTCTGAAACGCTGGGGAGTATGAAATAAACCAACGGTGGGGCGACTAGGGAAAGAAGAATAGATTTACTGCGATCGGTCGTATAACGGCGACAACGCGCGAATCGAGATTGTGAGTGCGCATGCCCGTCACTGCGCCACTGGCGGCGCAGTGCCCCCTGGCGGACTCGCGTCGCAGTGAGTTGCGTAACAAAAGCACACTCGCATTCTAACGCTGCGCTGAAAACTTTCTCCCGGCGCGTCCGGAATGGGAAATCGGAAAACGATATAAAACTTTCCCGCGGTGCGCGTTAACGAAGCTTATATAAATAAAAAAAATAGCAAAATTCAAAGACTCGCTGCATCTGGCTTTTCTTTGTTGGTTTATCCAGTTTCCGGAGTTTATTGTGGCGAAAAACGACCGTATACAGTTTTCGCCGGTAGCGCAAATCTCAGTGTGGACGTTGTAAAGTGCTGTGTTAATTAATAAACTAAATACAGTTTTATTTTGCTTGTTATCGAGTGGTGAACGGTGGGAGTACGCTGCTGGTGGTGGGAATCGATACTGCGGAGGGAGCGGCGAAGGTAAGTAATATTTGCTTGCCTTATTTTTATTATATTACTGTTGTATTTGCTTACAAACAATTGCCCTTTACATAACCAACGAAATAAAGTGGTTAATAAAAATCCTTGAAAAGTTTTTCACATTTTTTTTGTGTGTTTCCCGGACCCAAGTCCGCTTTCGTTTCACAACAAAAGCAAAATGCATCTGCCACGAAAAACAAGGGCCAAAGGTACGCTTAACCAAAAAAATTAATACATATTCAAAATTGGGAAACGGCCAAACCACATCGTGTACCCTAAGGAAACTAGGTCAGGTGAATGGATGCAATGAAACTTGTGTTGAATCTTTAGCATCATAAGTAAACGAATCCTTACTTTGTTACGAGAAATACACATTACTATTGCAACAATAACAACTTGTACCTCCTTTCTTAATCCAATTAGCGTAAGTCCATTCTCGGATTACGTCTTGACCGCTCCTAACAGTATAAAATATGTTATCCTTTCTTTAGCAAAATTATTTAAGGCAAAAATCTTACAACCATAAGTAATTAGGTATTTCAAAAGGCTTTTCTTTCAGTGTTTTAGACAAAGAGAAATATTTTCTTTGTTTTGTAAAATGTAGTTGAAACATTTCCGGTTTAGTTTTTACTCACAGTTCTATAATATTTTATAGAGGGGTATATTCCAGTTTTTATAACCATACTTTTAACTAATTCGGCAGATTTAAAATGCGTTTTTTAATACTTTTATACATAGCTTTACGTTTCAATCAAGAGTATGATTTTTGGTAAAAGTATTAAAAAACCGTGGCAGTGTTGTATTTAATGAGTGGTGTGTAAATTGACCCAATTTTTTTTATTAAATCCAAATATAAGATTAAGTACTTACCATTTAGTACTTTCAAATGTCCTTGCAAATGATGAGGTAATTAGATTAGATAATAGATTCAGAGCGATTAGTCTCTTGACTTACACGAAAACTAATAGCCGGATTTAAAATTTTAAGCAGTAGCAATAAAAGAAATGTAAGTATATGAAGTGATCTTTACGATATACGCCTAGATAAAGCAATCCAAATAAACCACACAAAGAAAACGACTCTATAGTACTTTACCCCTAGCACGAACCAATATCGAATTCGTAACGGTTGCGAGTACCTTGTAACTTGAACAGCAGCACTACAAGGTACGTAACGAGAACCAAAAAATCAGTACATATTTGACAATGACATTTCGGTCTCGCAAACATTACGAATTCGATAATGGTTCGTGCTAAGGGTACAGATTATTTTAAAATAGTCAATATATGCATGTGTAGCGACGAGCGTATCTACCATAAGTAGTAGATTTTTTCGGCGTTCCAGTGCAAATAATAGATAATCAAAGGTGATATAACTCCATCGATTTGGGCGTTCACTAAAAATGGACGGATCGAAGTTTTCTCGTCTTGCCAGCCGACATTTCAGGGTTTTTTTCATTGTCATATTCAGCGTCGCAAATCGACATCACAGACTACCAATTTTTGGAGTGTTTAGTTCAGCGATACGATTTTATTCTAAGCGCAAAAACTTAGTTGTTATCTGTCTTGGGTCAACTGTTACCCCATCCCTAGCTTCGTGGATCCCTGGAATTTAAATTACTGACAGAAAAACATTCCAGCCAAAGGTAGAGTCACTGTCATGGACACGGAATACGGCGGTTGCTTTGTTATGTTTTTTGTCTGTTATCTAAGTTTACACTATATTTTTTCTGTTCGTTTTTATTACATTAATTTCGCTATCCACCATTAAAGAAGGAATCAGTTTTATTTCAGAACATTACCGGCGACCGTAATGAAATAAATCATCATCATCAGTCTATTAATGTCCCCACTGTATTATCTATAGGTAGAAGTTTTCTCTAGAGTCGACTCCAGATTACACACTTATGGAATGTACTTAGTGCATACATATTTTCATTGAAAGTTAAATGTTATTTTTAGACACTTGGAATATACATAACTATATTATATACCAAAATGTGTGTGATGAAAAATACATATACGTACCAAAGTAGGTACTTATAAATATAAGTACCTACTTTGGTACGTATATGTGTAATCAAATTATTGTAGACAAAAAATCACTCCTGCTGAAAATAATAATAAGAAGCGAAAGCAGAATTTTCCTTGCTATTTTTGCTAGCGACGAAATGATCTTTACGTTTTCTTCAGAAATTCCTAAATGTGTAAATAAATATAGGACATTATCATTTTACACAAAACTCTTATCGTAGTCGTATTCGTTCTTGTGTTAAGGAAGGAAGGAAGAACAAAAATCATAAAAAGTTGTTTGTCTATTCTGACCGTGAACACATCGTGAATATCAAGTTATTTCACATGAATTATGTTTCTATCTCTCTTACCCACCCAACATGTTTATATGCCAGTTTGAAGTTCCCGAGTCATGGCGACTCATCATTTCATCGAGTTTGATGGGCAGGAAACTCGTAAAAACTAAATGGGCTATCGAAGTTCGACGTGTTACATTAGTTAGAGATGCCCAATTTTATGCTGATTAAAATTCCTGATTAACAAGGCTATTTACATGAAAATATTCATAAAGTTACCAATATAAGCACCAAAGCCGAAGACGAGACGACGTAGAAAAGTTAAAAGACCTTTAGTATGCATTCACTATAGTCAGCTATGATATTTTTTCATGGCCATTCTTAATTGCTGTTGCTATAGAGTGGCGACAATGACTTGTATCTGCTCGTAACAAAACTAATCCGGATTCTTATACACAATGAATGACTACTTACATAAATATTGGCTCGTCGTTTACGGTTATTGGCATAGGAAAGTATAATATTAAAAAGATCGAAGCGATGCCACGTATAAACGTCATTAAATTTCGTATGTTCTTTTTATGCAATTGAGTGTTATAATATTAATACGTGATGGAAAAACTTTTGTACTTCTTTTTTGAATTCATTTTGCACAGAGCAGTAACCCATATAGATATAATTAATCCTTTTATGTAATGGCATCTCGCAAGGAATAAAAAGTTGTCCATATACAGATTTACACATTTGCCTCGACAGTTTGCAGCATTATGTAACATCCAAACATTCAGATACAAAACCTAACATACAGTAATTTTTGTGAAAGGGTTCAGATACAATGACAAAAAGTTAATCCTTTGTCCCATTTTCTTAACCGTTTTTCTGAACCATCTTATCCATATCAATAAAATGTTTGTTTCATATCCATATGATATACTCGTACCTGTTAACGGTTAGCAACTGTTTTAACACAAGTTATCTCTACGAATAGTCTGAGTGAGTGTTAAAATAATGAGATAGACACATTCGGCTTCAAATCAAAACTATTTCAAACTGTGTTACTAGCAGTCGCTAATTTCAGTTGTGGTAAATAAAATGTAGATATGAATCTATCATTTGGATGCTTTGAAAAACCATAAATTTATGAGACATTTTATGACAAGTAGTTTGTAAGTTCTATTGTAGAAGTCTAGTGGAACTCCACGGGTTAGGGGATTGGGTCAGGGTGGGCAACGGTGCAAGATATCACCAAACATCTATAAGCTAGGGTAGCCGCATACCATCAGGCGGGCAAAATGCTTATTTACCACCTTTTTAACATAAAAAAGTCCAGTGGAAAACAGATGTTTCTTTAAGTCATCTCAATAGTATTTATATATAATTCCTCTTATTCGCCGGCCCGCTTTAAATTTCAAACCACCGATTTTTTCAACTGAACGTATACAGGATGTAAAAAAACATTTGACGAAGTCGAAGGCCACGTATTTTCCACATCATGACGATCATTTTCTTCTTCTGGACCATACTTGGGAAATTTATGGTAATGCAGATATTGAAGGTCAAAGTAATTTTTTTTTCAAGATTTATACATTAATATTTGCAAAACGTTATTTAGAAACTTTTTTATCGACGCAATTACACACGCGCACACACATACACACAAACACACACATTATTTGCGTAGCTCCACAGTAGCGCGCCGTGCTAGACATTATAAATTGCGTACTGTTTTTTTTACTTAAAAATACATATTTTTCCCACGTGTAATATTTTGTAATATTACTTGTTTGGGTGTGCAGAATGCGTAGTGTTAGTCTTTGTCATAGGTTTTTTACACCCTGTATGTAAGCATAAGCACATTTCTAATAAAACATTCAATATTACGTCTGACGGAACATAATAGCAGGTACTTTTCTCCTTTCGGGTACCCTACTCATGTGTGTTTAAGTCCAAAATAAAATGAACGTATTTTCAAATGAAATTATGAATATTTAATTAGGGATATCCGGACCGCCATAAAAATCATCCCTAATAATATTCTGTAAACGCTTCGCTTTGTAAGAGTTTACAGAATGAAGCGTGGTGTATTTAAATTATTTTCCCTTGGAAGTAACTGAGTTATGCAAAGTTGGACGGTTTTCAGCTTCTGAATGTCTATGAATACTCCAATTGTATATTTTTTATATATATACAATTGGAGTATTCATAGACATTCAGAAGCTGAAAACCGTCCAACTTTGCATAACTCAGTTACTTCCAAGGGAAGAAAAATCTATTTGAGAATTTTTTAACAAAAGGAAACTTTAAACGGTTTTTACATTTTCTTATGCAATAGCTACTGATATTATGTCTAGTTGAGACTTTTTTTTATAATACGAAAAGTAAATAATAATTACGTACTAATAAAATATACACTGAAAGTAGAAGAGGAGAGTAAGGAGAAAAGAGTTTTCGGGTGCTGATATAAAATCGTAGGTACACCCAAATAACAAAAGTTGGATTCTACAATGGAGAGCAAATAAATGAATTCTGATTTGATTTACTTAAAAAGTATAATACTTGCAACTATTAAAGTAATACCTATAGAAAACAGGGATTTATTGCGAATTATTAATTTTTTAAGTTGTATTTAAGAGTTTTCCAAAGAAAGGTGTTAATCGGTAGTAAAGACGTAACACGTAAACACATGTATGAG